AACCGTAGTGTTACTGCAAGATTGTTATGGTGATGTTTTCCAAAGATTTTAATGCGCTATTCTTAGTAGTAACTTAAGGGTTGGTCTTTGGGTTGCTAAGGATAGTAGGGTTTAGAGTTAGGGTTGGTCTTAACATGAGCTAATATGAATGGGAAAATAGGGAAGAGCCGTTGGTGGACCTCTTCTTCAGCCTAACCCTGAGTTTAATTAGCAGTTTAATTTCAGAATCAAGGCATAATTAATGGATTAATCAGATTTGTTCAGTTTATTTTCTATTAAAAATTATAAGTATTTTCAAAATGGTTTAAGTTAATTATTACTGTCTACGTTTTTATAAAGTTTAAATACGTGTTTGTTTGTGTGTTTGTTTCTCCCTGAATGTCTTCTGAATTCGAGGTGCTGCTGTGGTTCCATCTCTAGACTGTTATCTTTATCTTTATTTTATTTGCATTTTTTTCTTTTTAGAATTATCATTCAAACCCCCCATATCCTTTAGTTTAGGTTTTAGATTTTAGTCAGTTTTTATTCAATAAATGTGACAGAGTAAACTGATTTTCATAGCCTAAAAAGTATCTTTCCTCGTGGGATCGATCCTTACTTGCCCTATCTATATGTTTTAATTAATATTAATTCATAAAGGGAGTTAAGAGTTAAGGAAAATAATAAATTAATTTGTAGGTGCTACGACACGCCTATCAGCTGGTCAGATTTTATTTTAATTTTTTAAGTATATTTTTCTAAATAATTTTATAATATTGTTTTTAGATTTTTTTTCTTCTATTAATTGTTATATAAAGTTTAAGACTAAAAGTTTCTTCAATGTTAAGTTTTTATTTTTATCATAAATTTTTGAAAAAAATGCAACTAACAATAAGATATCAATTTTAATGATATCTAAGATCTTTCAATGGGAAGAAAAGAGTGAAAGAAGTAAATATATGTAACTTAAAAAGAAAGTTTTTATGTAGGACGAATGAAGGATATATTTTATTTAAAGTATGTTAAAAAGTTAAAAACAGTGATATTTGAAAATGTTTAATGTATATTACACATTAAAAATTAATACTCCAGTAATAGAAATACATTTGAAGGGTAAATTCTACCTTTATTAGTTTCCTTTCTCTTTTTTTGTTGTTTTTGTTCTCTCACTTTTTTATTTTGCTAGCCCATTCCATAATATGGAGTAGAATTATTCATTTTTTAATCGATAAAATTGAATTCTAAAAAATACAAAAGATTTTCTTAGAATCTGTTTGGTATACGAAATTAAAATTGAATTGAGAGTTGAAATTATATGAAATTGATTTTGATGAAATTTAATTCTCTAATTTCAATTCATTTTTGTCACTATCAATTTTAATATATTTTTCTGCTACAAAACAACAGAATTAGAATTATTAATTCTAATTTTAATTTCTATATACCAAATAGATTTTAGTCTTATGGATTCGATCCTGGGCCAATCTTTAGCTTATTCAAATCCGGAATTGGACTAACGCACCCCGTATTCACCTTGGACGCAACACGACACCCTTAAATAAAACCCGTGGGCCTTCTGGTAATTACAACCAATTATACTCCGCATTATTAAACTAAAAAAAAAATACGGAGTACGAAAATAACCGAGCGCACATCCTAGAAGATTTCCGTCTGCATCCTCGACTGTGTCTAGGGTTTCTCTAGCGATTGGACCGTTCCAATTCGCCTCCATTGCTGTCTGCATCGGAGCTTCAAGGCCTTCGCGCGGAAGCCCAACGCCATGTACGGATCAAGAGGGTAAGTCGAACACGAAAATCCGGCTATATTTTTATGTTAATTATTCCATGGATTTACAGACTGATTTGTCAATTTATGCTTTGAATTTATGCCGATTCGTTGTGTTTCGTGATTGGGGGGCTTCAGAGTTTTGTTTTAACGGATCTCTGGATCGATTGCCTGTTGTTGTTTTTAGTTTTATGCGGATTTAAAAGAACCATTGTAGAAGATGGGGATTTGTGTGTCCAATTTGTGTTTACGCTCGTTAACAGAGGAGAGGATATCAAAACGCTTGCTTAGTTTTGTGTTTTCTTTTGATGTTGAAATTAAATTGCTGATATTTAGTTTGTAGGGGTAAGGTTTGCGTGCACATACACTCCCCAGACACCACTGTTTGTGGGATATTATTTAGTTTGATATTTATACATGAAAAGGTTTTTTCTTTTACATTTGTAGTTCACTTGAGCATGTAATTTTTTTGAAAATGGATTTCACTTTGTGTTTATGGTTCTTACAAGGACTTTTGTTTGAGGTGTTTAACTCTCAATTCCTATGATTTTCTGTGGCTATTATGCTCCTTAAGTGCAAACCAGGGATTAGTAGCGTTATTGTAGCATTGGGCATTGAACTTTGTATTTTGTTTTTGTCACTAGAGATTCTGGATGCACCAATTATATTTTCAGGATTTTTCTAAAAAATTCAACAACTAAATTTGTTTTTCATACTTCACTGCCCCACAGAAAAAGTCTTGTTTAACAAAAAAAAGAGAGGCACATTTCATCTAACAAAGCTAATTTTCAGGAAATTTGTCAGAAAAAGGTTACATTCAAGCTTTATTTGATAAGTTTGGTTAAGCCAACAATTGAATTTTAGAATTATGAGTTGGTGGATTTCATGGCATTCATCATTTTGATAAATGTAGTTAAACCAACAATTGATTTTTAAAATTATAAGTTGCATTTCATGACTTTCATCGGTTTTACATTGTCAAAATTTTAAAAGTTGTGCCTCGAGACAAAGGAAGTATCATTTCTGATTGCGTTCTCTTGATAGTTGATAGTATCAATGAGCATTTTAAAATAGTAATAAGGGTTATAGCTTTCAGCGCTCCATTCTTTCAAAATTGATGCATATTTATGTTTTTTTGGATATAGAAGTTAGAGACTAGGACTTAGAAACCACATGGGTTGGGTATGGTTTTATTAACAAGGTTGAGTTGGGGGATTTTTGTCCTTTTTGTGTATGAATAAATGAAGGGCCATGTTGGGGAGCGGGGGGGTGTCGGACGGGTACGACATCGGCTCAAAGAGACCAAGAATGACGGAATCGAATCCCTACTTTGCAGTGAACAACGGTCCAAGCGGTTACCCGTTCACCCATGGATATCCATCATCAGGGGCATTTCCCGTCGTCCGTCTCAGGGGTCTCCCCTTCAACTGTTCGGAATCCGACATCCGACTCTTCTTTGCCGGTCTTGACATCATCGATGCATTCTTGGTGAACAAAAATGGAAGGTTTTCAGGAGAGGCTTTCGTCCTCTTTGCTGGAAACATGCATGCCGAAAATGCCCTTCTGAGGGACCGCCAGAACATGGGTAGAAGGTACGTCGAGGTTTTCAGGTGCAAGAAGCAGGACTACTATCAGGCCATTGCCGCAGAGGTTAAAGAATCGCCTGGATATGACCACAGCCACCACGGTTCTTCCCCACCACCACCACTGCATAAGCCCCCTAAAAGGACTCAGAACAAGGACCAGTTGGAGTACACTGAGATTCTGAAGCTACGCGGGCTTCCCTTTTCTGTCAAGAAATCAGATATTTTCAAGTTTTTCGGCGCGGATTACAATTTGACCGACGAAAAGGTGCGGATCGGGTACCGATCTGACGGGAAGACTACCGGGGAGGCATACGTGGAGTTCACATCATCCGAGGAGGCGAAGAACGCAATGTGCAAGGATAATATGATGATTGGGTCTAGGTACATTGAGCTCTTTCCTTCAACTCAGGATGAAGCAAGGAGGGCTGATTCTAGGTCAAGACAGTAAAAATAGAGTGCTGGGAAAAAAATTGCAATGTTTTTCATCTTTAAAAAGCATTTACTGCTTCTTTTTCTCCTTGTTTGGGGACTTTGTTCTTGCCCTTGATGAAAATTTACTGCTTTTCATGTCTCAGCAGTGTTTGTTTGTTACTGTATTTTCTAGAAACAAAGCAGAGTAATGGTAGAGAGTGGGTGGACTTTTGAATATATAATTTTGGGTAATTTTACTGGGCTTTGACGTTTTCTTGTTTGGTTTGTTTGAGGGAGGGCTGGGTGAAGAGGGGAATATGTAACCAATCCCTATCCTTTACTTTGGAGATCATGTCCCACATTTCAGCACTTTGCATTTGTAGAGTCAAATTTTAACTACGTTCTTTGTTTGATTTCATTGCCCATTTGGGAAACTAATATAGTTTAATCACTTCTTATCCTGCACAATTTTTTATTTAGTTTTCAATTACATAAATTTTATTTTTTTTTAATTTTATATTTATTTTCAAAAAATTTGAATTGAAAATAACTTTAGTTAAATCTTGTAAATAATACTCTCTCCAGTTCTATAAACTCTTTCTATTTTGACTTTTTTTAATCAAACAGTCACATTTTTTTTTTACCTCAAATTAAGCATAATGTAAATAAATAAATGTTATAAAAAATTGATATTTCAAAAATATATCCTAAAATGAACCAAATTATATTAAATTTATATACTAATTCAATATACTTTTCTCACAATTTGTAGTCAAAGAATTTTACTGTTTAACTAAATAGAGTTAATATAGAAAGAATTTTTAAGACTGGATGGAGTAATAGTCAATTTGGTAAGGAGTATTAAATACTATTCTATGTATGAAGAAGGGATTGAATTCTTAATAGATCAAGAGTCTCCCATAGCTTCTACCTACTAGATACTTGAATAATACTTTGTAATATCTACTCGGTATAATATTGTCATAAAATATTCCGCGAGTTAAAGTCAATCAAAAGGTATGAGTTAACGTATGATATGTGATGCCAAGTCTTTGGTTTGATTTTGAGCTAAGTTGTCCCGGATGGGATCGGAAATGAGGGCCACACCATAGTTTCCAGATTTTACAAAGAACTTGAGTGGCGAGACGTTCCCAAGTGCCCAAATAGGGGCCGTTTTGGGGAGGGGGAAAACACTTGTTTAAAAAATCTGTGCAACATAGATTTAGTGTATCTCATTGTAGTCCATCAGTTGGAAAAGCCCATGGTCAGTTAGAGTCATTCACTCATTCTACATCAACCAACTGCTTCCAAGATCCTTCATCATTCCAATTTGCATCATTTTTTGCCTCAACTTAGAAGCCTCTTCCCATCTCCCCTCTCTAGAGTACATATTAGACAAAACAAGGTATGGGGAAGGATCTTTAGGGTCAATCTCCAACACTTTTCTTGCACATTTCTCTGCTATCTTCACATCTTCATAACTCCTACTGGCATTCAACAATGTCTTCCATGCAAAAACACACTCATTGCCACTACCCACCACTTCATATGCTTCCTCCAGTCTCCCCGCACGACCAAGAACATCAATCAAGCACCCGTAGTGTTCTTTTTCGGGTTCCAAACCGTACCTCTCATTCATCAGTTTGAAGATGAACAGACTCTCTTCTACCATGCCTGCGTGACTGCAGGCTGACAGAACTGACAGGAAGGTGACGGGGTTGGGTAAAAATCTCATCTTTACCATTTCTTGAAACAATTTAACCGCTTTAACGGCGTTTCCACACCATCTTTCATATGAAATGGTCTGAAAATAATTTTAGTCAAACATCATAACGCGCAATGAGAAGGTTATTATTTTGAGAGAATATACATACATTCTGTGCAACCAGGGTGTATCTGATAATTTACAGAACAACAACAAATTCAGTAAAATCACAAAAGTATTGTTTGGGAGGGTGTGTGTAGACCTTACCCCTACTCACAAGTAGAGGAGTTGTTTCCAAGAGACTACGACAATGTTCTCCTCAACTTATATTTTTTTATTTATTACTTATTCTTGTTGGAATCAGATCAAATCAAAAATTGCTTTAAATATAACTACATTCATACCAAACCAGATCAGAACTTATTACAATCAGATCAAGTGAAGAGAACATGGCGTAACTACTTAAACACAAGCGTATAGACAAAGTAAACGCCGAACAAAGTACCTGCACAGACACATGAAGCACACAAACCGACACAAGTAACAACTAGACCCAAAACTAGGTTAAAAATACACCAGCATAAACCAAAAATTAAGGCCCAAAGGCCTACCCATTTAGTCCGATCTTAGATGTGCTGATGTTTGTATTTAAGGTAATATAATTGGTAATAATAACCCAAAATGGTAACAATGGAGTTTCTTGTATATCTGATATGAAACTTGGCTTTATCAAATTGCAGGACTTTGCAAGTTGAAGAATCTTAAAGAGTTGCATCTTGGGCGAAATTCATTTTATGGTGACTGTCATTCATGTATCCGCAACTTGACCTCCCTCCGAGTTCTAGATCTTGCATTTAACAATTTCACGGGAAAGATATCCTCTTCACTTGCAAATCTTACATCCCTACAGTACTTGGACCTCTCAAATAACAACTTTGAAGACACTGTATTTCTGAGTTCTTTTGCCAACTTCTCAAAGCTTGAAGCTTTAGTGCTATCACGAAATCGGCTACAAGTCCAAACAGAAAATTCATTATGGCAACCCACATTTCAGTTGAACTTCCTCGGTTTAGACGGTTGTAGTCTGAACAAACCAGATGGAACTTTTCCTAGATTTTTGATGCATCAGTACAATCTGACTGACATTGATCTCTCCCATAATGACCTAGTCGGGCCCTTCCCTACTTGGTTGTTAACCAATAACTCTCATCTTAGATCTTTGTATCTAATAAACAACCATCTTACAGGACATCTTCAACTTCCAGCCAATTCTATTTTTTCCTTATCTGGACTCGATATTTCTAGTAACAGATTTCAAGGTAAACTGCCTGAAAACATTGGGTATGTGTTCTCAGGAATTGGGTTTTTAAACATGTCAGGGAACAATTTTGAAGGGCATATCCCCACGTCAGTTGCTCATATGAGAGGACTAGGAATTCTAGATTTGTCACGCAACAACCTATCAGGAGAATTGCCAAGACTTAGTGATTGTGGACTCTTAGAGGTCTTGGATCTATCAGGCAACCACCTAAAAGGAGACTTGGTTCCGGAGCATATGAACCTAACAAAGTTGACATTCCTAAAGCTAAGCAACAATATGTTTGGTGGGACAATTAAGGATGCACTCTTAGAGGCTTTGGGTAAATCACCCTACTTGTTGTACTTTGATATCTCAAACAATAAGATAATTGGTGAGCTTCCTAGAGGGATTGGCAACTTGAGAACCTTGGGCATCTTATCAGCATCAAACAACTTCCTGGAAGGTCAAATTCCAAGCGAAATATGCAATCTATCCAAGCTGAACTACTTAGGCCTCTCTCAGAATAACTTTAGGGGAGCAATACCTTCATGCTCCAATTTATTGGCTTTACGGTATATCCATCTGGGCAAGAACCGCCTCACAGGGCAAATACCGCATGAATTATCAAGCTGCTCAAGTTTAAAGTTACTCGACCTGATGGATAATCAACTTTCAGGCAATATTCCATCATGGATATACATGCTTTCAAACTTAACAATACTCTTGTTGGGAGGCAACGATCTCCACGGCCCAATTCCACATCAGATGTGTCAGTTGGTATCTCTCAATATATTAGATCTAGCAAGGAACAGGTTATCAGGTAATATACCCATATGCTTAGGGAATATGCCACTTGGGATGAAAATGTATGATTATCACGACTACCTATGGGATTTCGGGAACACCATATTTGAATATTTTAGAAATTTTCCTCTTAACCCTATAACATTAGAAGTTGAGTTCCTTACGAAGAACAATCATCTTTCCTACAAAGGTAGCAATCTTCGGCTTATGTCAGGACTTGATTTGTCTTGCAACAATCTCACTGGGGTCATTCCGCTAGAACTGGGATACTTGACATATGTCCATTCAATTAGCTTGTCACGTAACTTCATATCTGGATCCATCCCAAGCACCTTCTCCAACTTGAAGCAGATTGAGAGCTTGGACCTCTCTTTCAACAACTTGAGTGGCACAATCCCTTATCAACTCGGCGACCTTAACTTCTTGGAGGTCTTTAATGTGTCCTACAACAACTTGACCGGAAGAACGCCCGATACAGGACAGTTTGCTAGCTTCGTTGAAAGCAGCTATCTCGGAAACCCCAGACTCTGTTGCTATGCCTTGAACAAACCTTGCACCCCTGAAAATGAGATGCCTCCCTCTAGTCCCAGTGAAGAAGATGACGGAGATGCAGGGATCATCGACATGGGAGACTTTCTATGGATTTTTGGGGTGTCCTCTGCATTTTTGGGAGACTTTCTATCGTAATGTTCTTAGCAACAATTGCAATCCTCTGCATCAACCCTCACTGGCTTAATTTTGTTGACAAGTATATTCTTTGGCGTTTGCCATTCCCAATGCCATAGTTTGTCTTTTGTATCTCAAAAGTATATTATATTTGTAGTGTAAGACTTTAGTAGGTACTCTGTATCTTGTTGCAGAGTAATAAATTGAAGTAATAAAACACTTTTAATTCTCTATGATATGATTTTGTGTTACAATGCACAAAACAAAAAAGGGATTTGGTTGGTTATTAATACATCAAGCTTTCATTCATCTTATATTTTGTTTAGTTAACTAGATGTTTGCCTTGACTGTTCTTTTAATGTTTGAAAGTCTAATTTTAGAAAACCCCCCATGATTCTTTTGACACAAGTTTTGGGTGTCATAATATTTTATTGTGACTCTATAATTCACTCTTTGGATCCGAAGTGATTCATACCCTATTGATTCTCACAAACACCTTGTTGCTTCTTTCTCCTTCTCTCCACTGTTTTGAAAAACAACGAAATGATAGCAGATTGAGAGCTTGGACCTCTCTTTCAACAACTTGTGTGTGTTATTGTTATCTTGATATACAAATGGATACCTCATATTGGTATACCCCTAGGTTAATTCAAATAAAATTGATAATTGCTTTTTCTCAAATTAGGTTTTGTACTTTCAAATTAGGGTTATTGTTGTAATCTTTGAGAATTCATGTAAAATCTCAACAATTTTGGGAATTTTGACATGAATTTTTCTTGAGTGTGATTTTTCTTTCAAGATTTAATTATAAATTGATTAAATTCTATGATAATGAGTTATTGCTCATTTATTTATTTATTTATGCATTTTATATTGGTAGTCTAATGATTTTTTTAAGATTGTTTTTGAGTTTCTAAGCATTGGGAATTTGGGATAATGTCATTTGATGCCTTACTATAAATACAGTTCAATTTTATATTCCTAGCCCATTTTTCTTATCTATTTTCAATCCCCTTTTTGTGTATAGAAATTCAAGAAGATTTGATGATGAACTAAACGCCATATTGGAGTTGGCTAAGAATGCAGAAACCGAAAAGTCCGAACAAAATCTCAAAACTGAAGCGCACAGCAGCAAGATTTTGACGAAGCAACGGTTAGGAATGAAATCTAACATTCGTTTTTTTGATCTGAACTCGTTCCCGAATTCAGATGATGAAGATAATAGAGGCATATCAGGTAAAGTTTGACATCAAATTCTCGTAAAATGCATTGAATCATTTCCACTTAGAAAAGCAGTCTTGTTGTCTAGAGATTTTCCCCGGCCCGAGACATAACTCCCTCCATTAAAAGTCAAACGAATGTGAACATAAAGTATGTTCTTCGTTCTTGTTAGAGATAGAAGAGGAAGCATGATTGAAGAAGGAAAGTGTTAGAGACAGAAAAAGGATGCAGGATTGAAGAAAGAAACTGAATCCCTTTGGGATTAGGTTTAATATCTTTCCTAGTTGGATTAGGTTTAGTATTTAGTATCTTTCTTAGTTTGTTTAATTCTTATTTTAGTGGGAATAGAAATTTCCTTGTTTACTTTACCCTCTTCCTATATAAAGAGGGTTAGATCTTTATAATTCAGAAACAAGTTTCACAAGAGAGAAATACAAGAGAATTTCCTCCCAGATAATTCTTTCATGGTATCAGAGCTAGTTTTGAATTCTTGAGACCTCAAACACGCTTCTTCCCCTTCTGGTGGGCATATTCAATTCAATGCCTACCGGCGGGATATTGTAATTTTTGATTTTCTTTGATTGTTCTCCCTCACTAAAAAATATCATGAAACCTAGAAATTTCCACGGCTACTGTTCACGATCGCCCGGCATCGCGTCCATCGATCGTTGCTCAGTTTCGTCACCCGCTACTGCTGTCGAGTGCCGAAACGGTTGACCGTTGCTTCAGAACGGTCGAGCACATCGACCGTCCCGTCGGCAGTCTCCTGTTGATGGTCTCTTGGATTCGAAACACGATTGATCCAGCCTTGAGATCCAGCATATCATATGTGGAAAAAGCTTCAGATCTATGGAATGATTTGAAAGCCCGCTTCTCTGTGGTTAATGGACCGAGGGTTCAGCAGTTGAAGTGGGATTTGGCGGAATGCCAACAGAAGAATCTCACCATATTGGAATATTATGGGAAGATGAAGAGGTTGTAGGACGATCTTGCAGGTTTGGAGCAGTTCTCAATTAGTACGTGTAGGAATTGCACGTGGGACATGCCGGAGAAGCTTGTGGGACGATCTTGCAGGTTTGGAGCAGTTCCCAATTTGTACGTGTAGGAATTGCACGTGGGACCTGTCAGAGAAGCTTGCGCAGATGCGCGAACCGAGGGAACGTTTTTTTTATGTCCAAGCTGTGCATGTTGAACTCTCATGCTCCAGCTTGAGGGGGGGTGTTAGAGATAGAAGGAAACGGGATTGAAGAAGGAAAGTGTTAGAGACAGAAGAAGGAAGCGAGATTGAAGAAGGAAACTGAATTCCTTTGGGATTAGGTTTAGTATCTTTCCTAGTTGGATTAGGTTTACTATTTAGTATCCTTCCTAATTTGTTTAATTCTTATTTTAGTAGGAATAGAAATTTTCTTGTTTACTTTACCCCCTTCCTATATAAAGAGGGTTGAATCTTTGTATTCAGAAACAAGTTCCACAAGAGAGAAATACAAGAGAATTTCCTCCCAAATAATTCTTTCAGTTCTATTTTTAATACTCCCTCCGTCCCCAATTTGATTACAAATTGCGGGTTACGGAGTAAAATTTCCTACTTTTTGAAATCATTTTATTTATAAATTGGTATATCAATAAGATATAAAAATTACATATTAAAAAACTACGTCAAAAGTTCTACAAAATAAGAGGTGACAAGAATATTTTATTTTATCAAATACTTAATGAAATTGCGTAAACAAACAAAAGTTATCGAGAAGAGAGAGAAAAAAAATTGTAATCTATTTAGGGACGGAGGGAGTATATGCAAAAAGTTCATAATGTACAAATATATAGTGTATAACAATGTGAGTTAACTCTTTCCTTCGTCAATTCGTTTTGGAATTTCAAGCACGTTTTAATACTTTCCTTTCCCTTGTGACCTATGTAGTGCACAAGAAACGAAGGGCGGCCCCAGAAGATATACTCCGTATCAAGGATTGCACTTCAAGATCTTGTCAAATATTTCGACCTTCCAATTACAGAAGCTTCACGAAGGCTGAAAATTGGACTGACCGTACTTAAGAAGAAGTGTAGGGAATTTGGCATCCATAGGTGGCCCCACAGAAGATCAAATCTCTCGATAGACTCATTGTAGATCTCCGGGTATATACATTGTCAATCCATCCACATTACCGTATAAAGAGCTTTTTTATGAACCTCTGAACATTGGTTTAAGCTTTTTGATTGAGTTATTTCCTTGTGACACCAGATAAATATAAAATTACAAAATTCATTAATCGTGTGAATTGTAAGAAGAGATGCAACAACAAAATGGTGGCGAGGATACAACAATGGAGGTGTCAATAAAGAAGAGAATGATAGAGTTTGAAAGGGAAAGGATAGAGAAGAAGCCATCTATGGATGGACATACAAGAAGAAACCAAAAAAAAAGTTTAGATAAGGCGTTTTCAAAAGAAGGCACAAAGCTAGGGCTATGGAGAGAACAAATCCAAATCTTTCATTTTCATTCGATATGCGAGAGAAAAGATCCTCCGTACCAAAAATGTTGTCTCACTCTCATGATTCACTTTCGAGATTCTGCCACATAGTACAATAACGAAATGAGTTCACATTTTTTGTATTATGTTCCTATAATGGAGGATATTTTTTCAAGTTATTAAGGGGGTGTATTCAATCCAGATTTTTAAAAATTCTGACAGATTATTTTAATTCCATGGATTTTGTAAAATTAGTGGATTATTTAAAATCTGTGCAGAGTTAGATAGATTTTGATTTATTTTGTTAGTAGGATTTTATAATATTGTGATAGATTGCTTATTTATATATACATTTGAGTTATTTTAAAAATCTATGCATTATCCTAACATTGATTATTACTTATGAAATTGACCAAAAATTCTAAAAATAACATTATAAAATAAAAATAAATTATTTTTTAAAACATTATTATTATTATTATTATTATTGTTGTTGTTGTTGTTGTTGTTGTTATTATTATTATTATTATTATAAAGCTCAACACCAACATATAATATTGCTTTTTTTTTATAACTAAAGTTAATCCTCATAATTGATTTTGATAATTGGAAACTTTAAAACACTAGCTCAATTCTTTCGACTAATCTACCTTCAATTAATGAACAAAGAGGGGGATTTTGTCTTCATGAAATTTCCAGAAGAAAATAATTGGTGATGTACGAAGAAAACTTGATGCTGCACGAAATTGACCTATTCTTCCTTCGGATCTGTCTGCTGATGACGAAAGATGAGACCAAATTATATTTGAAGAAAGTATTGATGAAGAGACCCACGACAGAGGAGGCTGGTGAATTTGGTGACGGCCTTGGTACCTTCAGACAGCGTGCTTGGCCAATTCTCGAAGAACCAATCGCAGGCGGTCTGGATCTCGCGGGAATTGATGGTGGGATGCTGTTTTCCTTCGCCGGCAGGAAGAAGGCCGGTGTCGACGATTTATCTGGGTAAAGGTCCGTGCGGCGGCGCACGTTGGAGAAGAGAAGCACGGGAGAGATGTTAGGGTTTTAGGAACCGTAGATGAAGAACGACTTCAGGCTGAAAGAGAATAGGAGTGGGCAAAATCTCATGGTTTTTGATTGGATTTGTAAATTGGATTTGTATTTATACCCAAGGCATGAAAATCCATCAAAATCCATAATTTTTAAAATCTTTAAAAATCCATCAATTTTTGAATACCATCATATTTAAAAAGATTTTTTAAAGTTTGAATTGAATACACCCAGATTTTAAATGACTTTTTAAATTCTGAATTGAATAGCTACGGATTTTCAAAATCCAAAAAAATCTATCAGAATCCGGATTGAATACACCCCCTAAATGTTTAACTTGATTATTATATTGTTTGTTCTTTTTCAATGTTTGGAACTCTATTTTTAGAATGCCAAGGTTCTTTAGGCAAACTACCTGCAGCTGCATGCCATGCCCCTCCCTCAGTTCCCTCTCAACTTTTGGTTCAAACAAATACTCTTGGACCTATAAAAATAATTTGATTTTGATATTTTGTTTGTCCAAAAAGAAAAACAATCTCTTTGTTTTTAAAGTGAAGAATACTTGTGCCCTTTCAATCAATTCTAACTATGTTTTTTGCTTTTAAGTATTTTTTTTAATTTCATGAAAGTTAAAGAAATTGTATGGGTCGAGAAGGAGTACTAGACAAACTAATGAAAAATAATGAAATATTGACTTCATTTTAGAAAAACATGGACTTCAAGTTAATTTGTTTTAGGTTTAAATTTAAGTGGTTTAGATTAAATTTGAAAATATTAAAATTAGGTACTCCATATTATTACTCTCTTTGTCCCAAATTGAAACTGGTTGTTTCAATTTACTTATGATTTTGATTGTAGTTGTTTTTAATTTAATTTATATGAAAATTATGGTGGAATTAAAAAATAATATTATACATAATACATACGTATTTAGAAACTATATAAAAAATAATACTCCGGGTACAAAACTAGAGAAAAGATGATTATTTTATTTTATTAAGTGACTAACAAATATAAACAAAGGGCATGTTTGAGAATAATGTTAGAGATTAGCGTTATCGTTTTGGATAAAATTTTAACGGTGCAGCTCACTTTGAAAAGGCTAACGCTAAACGTTGGCCGTAGATAGCCTTTTCAAAATGCTAACGCTAATCTCCAACGCTATTCCCTAACAGGACAAAAGAAAATAATGAAATTTAATCATGTGAATAGTATTTTCATAATTTAATTTGGGATAAAAAAACATTAAATATTGAATTTTTGAAAGTATGGATAATCATAAAGAAAATTGAGAAAATTTCGTATTAAAGTCGGGAGTCGTGACACAAAGTATTAAAAAAAGTCACGACACAAACCCTCAAACCTACACATTCTTTCACAATCCAATATTTGGAAGTATTCTTTTTTCATTTTAAAAAACGCTCTTTGATAATAATTTCAACATTTAACTTTTAGCGCTTTCAAAATAATATCTAATGATAGAATTTAGTTTTAATGATTAGAATATTAATATGAACAATTAAAACCTAGCAAGATTAAAAATATTGTTCCAAAACAAAAAAGTACTTTGAAATTTGTAGTTTTACCCGCAAACTTCAGAAAATTACTCTGGGTACTCTCAATTTTCTGGTAATGACTCCTAAGTCCCACATGATCTAAAATATATTCTGAGATTGTCTAGTAAGAACTCTAAGGTCTCACATTATTTGAAACATACTACGGGGGTCCTTAAAATTAGTGATAATATACTCCTTGGGTACATTTCATCTATTTGACCATTAAGATTAAAAGTTTTGATGCTTTGACAAATAATAAATTTTACCTCACAATAATTATTTTATTGAATTTAAATAAATCTTTTCAATTTCTCAAAGTAAAAGAATTTTCAATCCTAACACCTAAATGGATGGAATGTACCTTCGAAGCATAATAACATAAATTTTAAAGACCCCGAAGTATATTTCAAATTATGTAGGACTTGAAAGTTCTTACCTAAAAATTTAGAGTACCTCTGTCTATCCAAGTTTTTATTTTCTCGAGTTGATACTATGCCTCAAATGGCAAAAATGCTCCCGATTCAATACACCCCTATTATTTGAAATATATTATAGGTGCCTTTGATTTTTTAGTAACAACTCTCAGGTCCCACATTATTTGAAAGATACTACGGGAATCTTTAAAATTAGTGATAATGTACTCATTGCGTACATTTGGTCTATTTGATCATTAAGATTAAAAGTTTTGGTATTTTGACAAATACTAAATTTTACTTCACAATTGTTATTTTATTAAATTTAAATAAAATCCTTCAATTTTTCAATAGTAAAAGAATTTTCAATTCTAGCACTTAAATGGACGGAATGTACATTCGAAGTATAATATCATAAATCTTAAAAATTCCGAAGTATATTTGGAATAATGTGAAATTTGAGAGTTCTCAAATTTTTTATTTTTAGATTACCTTGATTATCAAACTTTTTATTTTGAGTAAATTCTATAATTGGTCTTTAATAATAGGGGAGTTTCCAAATTTAGTTTTTTATTATCAAATATTACCCCGTAGTCATTTTTTTTATATGTGCCTTTTCACAAATGGTCCCTTTTTAATCTTCTTAAAGATTAAAAGTGTAATTTGACATCAACTTTATGTCCAGTGACATATTCTGATATTGGTTGGACGGATAATACAAAAATAATGACTATGACTGTGGGTTATGATTTTGACGAAAAACCACATCTGTAAACTATGGTTGTAGTAGAAAGCATCTGTAATTCACAAACCACGCACCAGGAGCGGCCGAGCGGCCTTTGGAATTGTGTATGACAAGAAAGATATATTATCATTGTGAAATTACATTTTTATTCTTCAAATTAACACCAATATGTTAGAAGATTTAAAAAAGTATTATTTATGAAAAAATACCTATAAAAAGACCATCAGGTTAATAAGGAAACCGTGGTTCCGAGATAATCGAATTTACTCTTTTATTATTCTCGAGTGATACTATGCCTCAAGTGACAAAAATGTCCCCAATTCAATACACCCCTATTTTTTTACTTCCTATCTCAATAGGAACTAGAGAAGCGTCTCCGGACAGTGCTTGCTCCTCAGACTCAGATCGGTGGAGACGAGTCGGTTCACACATCGATGGAGCCGGTTCCGCCGCTACAGCTTTTCGATCGCCTCCGTGAGAGGGATGGATCCGCAGCCGTTTCCAATCGATCGTCGTTGTGTGAGGGACGGATCTGCAACCGCTGGATTTCTAGAGACGAATATGCCGCCGGGAAGCAATTGATGTGTATGAAGGTCAGGCCAAGCCTTCTTTAAGTTTGATATACTTCCACCCTCTCAAAACATTCCTTGTAAGTAAAAAATTGGTGTACAATTTAAAAATAAAAATTACTTCGTATATTTTAAAAAACTACAATAAAATGAGTAGTGAAGATTATTTATTTAATCAAATGAGCTTATGAAAATGTATATAGAAAATGAAGTTAGTTTGACATTTGAATAGTAACTTGGAGTCTTTTTTGGATGGAAGGGTATTTTTTCTATCAAATTTTACATCACTTGAGAATATATTTATGGTGTATGAGTACAGCAGTTTAACCAAGAAAACAGAGTAAAGCATATTTGGGAGGGTGTAGTTCACTTGAATTAATTATGTGATTTTGTTTTTCCCCAATTCCAAACCAATTGATATTTTCCAAGAATTTGACTATTCAGAAAAAATGTATGTTTTTCTTTTTGAAATTGTACCAAAAACTAGATGAGTCTTCGCATTATTTCTCCATAAAGTTTTACTCTTTTGGGAAAAATGTGTGAGTGAAAGCATTTATTTTTGGGAGAGTATGTTATAGGAAATGGTTTGGGTGATGACTGATGATTGGGTAGCAGCCGGGCCGGGGTGGAAAACACGCATGTTACCAAGTAAACATAGATGGGCTTGACTTGAGTCAACGTTTGTGAGTCAATGTGGGACCCTCCCATGCTTGACTTGATATCTAATTGGTCTATAGTCTATACATACAAGTCTTAGGAGCTGAGTGCAAACTTTATTATCACTCATTATTTATATACATTTATTCTGAACTAATAAATTCCCATCCATATACAAAGGGAAAGGAGTGTAGTGTACATTCAAAGCTCAACATGATGGGTATTAGTTCTCGGGAGGCATTTCGTCCTAATAATAATAATAGTAAACACTTGTTGTGGGTGTTGGCAGGCGGTCTACTATTGCTACTACTACAAGCCCGCCATGGAGAGTCTTGTGTCCAAGAAGAGCGGCTGGCTCTACTACATATCATGGCATACATGAAATCATTCGATCAACAGAATGACAGCATATGGTCCCACTTTGACAGAGGACATAGATACAATTGTTGTGCTTGGGATATGGTTGGGTGCAATCCATTGACCGGACGTGTAAACGAGCTTAACCTTGGCTCATTGGTGTCGGGGAGGCGTGATGGTGCCCCTAAAAATTTTTTGTTCAACGTGACACTCTTTCGGCCTTTTAGTCAGCTGACGAGCCTCGATTTGTCGGGGAATTACATCAATGGTTTGGTAGAAAGCGACGGTCGGTATTTACTACTACTATGTCTCCATCTTCTCATTATCTTTATATATATATATATATATATATATAGGGGCCGGTTCCCGTGAGAATGCACCTTGTGGAGAGAAATGAGAATAAAATTTAGCCGTCGGATCTGATGCATCGTGCGGCTCAGATTGCATCCTGCGCTCAGATTTTGAGATAGTGCATTTTCGAAGGTTTATGATGCATTTCAACGTGATGCATTTTCGCACCATTTTGGTGCATCTAATTTTGATGAAATCTTGACCCTTAGATTTCACAATCTAAAGCACCAGATTCATTCTCATTTCTCTCCTAAGATTGCATTCTCACCAGAACCAAAATCTATATATATATATATATATATATATATATATATATATATATATATATATATATCATGGTTTTAAAAGGCGACCGAGGCGGTCCGCCTCGAGGCGGTGAGGCGATAAGGCGGTTGCATTTCGCCTCTGAGGCTTAGGCCTCAGTAGGGAGGCGTACGCCTCACAATGTTGAGGCGGTCTGAGGCGGTAAGGCGTAACCGAGGCGTAAGCCTCACTTTTAATAAGAATTTCAGCAATTATAAGGGTTACTTTTAAAAAGCTATTGGGCCTCTTTTACAAAAAGTCTTTTGGGCCAATGCATTATAAAGTTTCTTAAGAAAAACTTAATAAACCTAGTAGATAATTATCACTTCTTTCCAAGACTTTTTGTGTCACCTTTCGTCTCTCCATCTTCAACCGTACTTCTCTCCATCTTCAGACTTCAATGGCACAACTTCACTCTTGTGGTAACCGCTAAGGCAATTACTTCATATTTAATAGCTTATCTTCTATTTCTTTCATCTTCTTCTTTCAGCTTTTAATTTTTCCGGTTCCTTCTTTTCCAACATCCCTCTCCCTCTTTTAAATTCGGTTCAAACTTCAAAGAATGATGTAACTTTTNGTGAACTTTTGTCCATATTTAATATTTATAAGGTTTGGAGATGGATTTGAGACATTTGTGTTTATGTTACTGTGTTTAATCTTTATAATTCTATTTTTTATTTGTGTTTTAAAAATTAAGATAGGGTATCATTTTTTGTAAAATTCAGGAATTATGATTTTATCATTTATTTAACATAAAAATGGATTATGCATTTCGTTTTACCTCGGTGTACATATTTTAGTATTATTTTTTTCATATTGAACTGAGGCTTACGCCTCGTTCCGCCTCGAGGCTTACGCCTCAAGGCATTTTGCTCCACCGCCTCGAGGCTAGTTTTCGCCTTTCAAAACCTTGATATATATATATATATATATATATATATATATATATATATAGATTTCGGTTCTGGTGAGAATGTGATCTTAGGAGAGAAATGAGAATGAATCTGGTGCTTTAGATTGTGAGATCTAAGGTTTGGGATTGCATCAAAATTAGATGCACCAAAATGGTTTAAAAATGCATCACGTCAAAATGCATCAAAATCCTTCGAAAATGCATTGTCTGAAAATCTGAGCGCAGGATGCAATCTGAGCCGCACGATGCATCAGATCCAACGGCTAGATTTTATTCTCATTTCTCTCCACAAGGTGCATTCTCACAGGAACCGGCCCCTATATATATATATATATATATATATATATATATATATATGAGATTGATTCCAGTGAGATGACATGCTTCAGTGAGATGACGCAAAGCTCACCACTGCCAACTGCAAAGCTCACCAAAGACAACTACAAAGCTCACCAAACTGTAAGGCAAAGCTCACCATATTTTTTCAACACTTTGAATTTTTTTTGAAAAAATAAAATCAAAGAAAAGGGTGCTGACTAGACTTTGACCGTTGACCACGACGTTTGACCCCCGCTGCTCCGCCTCCGGTTGCCAGAATCCGCCGCTGCTCCGCCGCCGCCGCTGACCGTTGTTGCTATTTTATTTTTTATTAATTTTTAATTTTCAAAATTAAAAAAAAGGTGATTTTTGGTGTTGAAAGTGGTGAGCTTTACTTTATTTCTAGATGAGCTTTGCATTGTCCATTGGTGAGCTTTGTAGATAGTGTGATGAGCTTTGCGTCATCTCACCGAAGCTTGTCATCTTACTGGAGTCAATCCCTATATATATATATATATATATATATATATATATATATAGGTTCTACGAGGCTTTCAACACTAAAGAACCTACAGCACCTGAGTTTAGATGGGAACCATCTTCAAATTGGATACTTTCATTTGGATGCTCTTATTTCTCTTAAGACCTTGAGTGCTGCAGGATGTTTTTGGAGCTTGTCCCCATCTGGTATTTGTTTGTTTGTTTTATGCCACGCCAAATTTTTTTTTAATGTTCCTAAGAGGGGTTCTTTTGTTGGTATACAATTTTAAAAATATTTTTTTAAAAAATTAATATCAATTTTTTTTAAAAAAATTTTACATAAGAGGTGACATGAATATATTATTTTAAGAAATGATCAATTATCAATGAAAATGTATTTAAAAAATATAATATAGTTTGATTTGTGAATTGTGAATATTGAATGTAAAGCTTATCTGGAAACATAGAGTGTAAATATATTATATACATCGATACTTGTTTAAAATTTTTAAATTTAGATGTTTAAAGATCGAAAAATATTTAAGATTGATATTTTATTGCTATATTAAGACATTATATATTTTTATGAAATACATTCCAATCTTAATATATCACACATAAATAATTACGGTGAGACTTGGGGTGACAATCAACATGATATGATAATTTACCACTTTCTCCGTCTTAGTTTAAATTGCATGTTTCCTTTATGATATTTGACGGAAGTTATTTTCAATGTAAATCAGATCAGATCCAATCAGATCAGATCAGATCTACAATCAGATCAGATCTAATCAGATCAGACTAGACCAGATCAGATCAGATCCCATAAGAATTATTATTATTGTTGTTGTTGTTGTTATTGTTATTATTATTATTATTATTATTATTACTATTATTATTATTCTTCTTCTTCTTCTTCTTCTTAAAAATGAAAAAGAATAAACTTTAGAAACAAGTTAAATAGAAAACTGAGAAATTAATCCTTAATTATTAGACGTCGAAAAAATTATTTTTAAAATACATTGACAATGTCAATCTAATTCTACTTTTAAAATACATTTTTATTGCTACCTGTAATTTGAGTTTCTAAAGTTTTGATCTTTTATAAGGATGCGATATTTTAATAAAAATACTATCTCTTCTCTGTATTGATTTTATATAAATTAAATATTTATTCTAATGTATGTATGAACTAATTATTAAAATATTAAATCAATATTCTTATTTCACAAACAATAATCATAAAATAAAAAATATTATTACATTAAAATATGAATGATTATTCTTACATATAAATTAACTAATTTTATTTTATTAAAAAATAATTATAAAATAAAAAAATATTGATTATATTATAATATGAATTATCATTACAGTTTTCAAACGTTATTATAAACTCAAATCAAATTATTGATTTGAATTTTAAATCAAATCATAATTAATCAGATCCAATCAGATCAGATCTAATTAGATCAGATCTGATCCAATCAGATCAGATCAGAATTGATCCAATCAGATCAGATCAGAACTACAAAAAATCAGATCAGATCAGAAAAAATAAGTTGAACGAAACAAAGCCTCAATCTTTTGGGTTCACAAGTATAGTAGAATGTTAGTTTGAGGAAAATGAAAAATTTAGAAAAATTGAAAAGAGCGAGAAGAAACTACAAACAGTTAAGATGGAAAAGAATTTGAAAGGAATTGAAATAAATCTTATATTTTTAAAATTTCATATTTTTTAATTGGAAAAAAATAAATCTAAATATGACTAAACCATTGAAATTATATTTAAAAAATGACTTGTAATTTTTTATCTCCAAAATAGGACTTGATAATTTCGTAATCCAACATAAATAAAAATTAAAAATGATCTCACAATATATTGAGTACTCCGTATTCAACTTTTCAGTCCCCTCTCCCTTCATGAGGTTGGTTTGTTTATTTTGGAGGGTGTCCATTTAGTCATTTTCCTAAGAAGAAGAGGGGTTTTCTTTTCTTTTCTTGTGTTTGCAATACTAGCGGATCTAACACAGCTGCAAGAATTAAATTTGGGATTTGTGAATAGTAAATGTACAGTTTATCTGGAAATCGAGAGTGTAAATATATTATATACATTATACATCAATATTTGTTTAAATTTATTTAATTTAGATGTTTAAAGATCAAAACATATTTAAGATTGATATCTTATTGGTGTAATAAGACATTAATTTGTTTAAATTTTTTATGTCTGATTCTGATATGAAACTTTGTGTTAGTCAAAGATGTTGCAGGACTTCGCAAGTTGAAGAATCTTGAAGAATTGCATCTTAGAGAAAATTTGATCTATGGAGACATTGATTCATCATGTCTCCTCCGCAACTTGACCTCCCTCAGAGTTCTAGATCTTGCAATTAATCATTTCACGGGAAAGATAGCCTCTACACTTGCAAATCTTACATCCCTACAACACTTGGACCTCTTAGGCAACAACTTCGAAGACACAGTATTTCTGAGTTCTTTTGCCAACTTCTCAAAGCTTGAAACTTTAGATCTATCAATAAATCGGCTACAAGTCCAAACAGAAAATTCATTGTGGCAACCCACTTTTCAGTTGCAAACCCTCCGTTTAGACGGTTGTAGTCTGAACAAACCAGTTGGAACTTTTCCTACGTTTTTGATGCATCAGTACAATCTGACTTACATTTCTCTGTCCGGTAATGACTTGGTCGGGACCTTCCCTACTTGGTTGTTAACCAATAACTCTCATCTTACATCTTTGCAGCTAAGCAACAACCAACTTACAGGACATCTCCAGTTTCCTTCCTATGCTAATTTTTCCTTATCTGAACTCGATGTTTCTAGTAACAAGTTTCAAGGCAAAATGCCCGAAAACATGGGTGATATGTTCTCACAACTCCGGTTTTTAAATATGTTCGGGAACTACTTTGAAGGGAATATCCCCATTTCATTTCGCCATTTAAGAGATTTAGAACTTCTAGATTTATCACGCAATAACCTATCAGGAGCATTGCCAAGACAATTGCTCCGTGATTTTGGATACTTGGAGGTCTTGGATTTATCAGACAACCAACTAGAAGGGGACTTAGTTTCAGAGCATATTAACCTAACACACTTGTCCCTCCTAAAGCTAGGCAACAATATGTTTGGTGGGACAATCAAGGATGCACTCTTAGAGGCTTTGGGTAAATCACACTACTTGTTGTACTTTGATATCTTAAACAATAAGATAACTGGCCAGCTTCCTAGAGGGATCGGAAACTTGAGTAACTTGCGCATCTTATCAGCATCAAACAACTTACTGGAAGGCCTAATTCCAACAGAAATATGTAAACTTTCCAGGCTGAGCCACTTGGACCTCTCTCAGAATAACTTTACGGGATCAATACCATCATGCTCCAATTCCTTGGATTTACAGTATATCCGTCTGGGCAAGAACCGCATCACAGGGCAAATACCGCATGAATTATCAAGCTGCTCGCTGCTAAAACTACTCGACCTGAGGGATAATCAACTTTCAGGCAATATTCCATCATGGATATACATGCTTTCCAACTTAACAGTGCTCTCGTTGGGAGGCAACAATCTTCGCGGCCCAATTCCACATCAGATATGTCGGTTAGCATCTCTCAATCTATTAGATCTATCTAGGAACAGGTTATCAGGTGGTATACCGATATGCATTGGGAATATAACACTTGGGATGAGAATGTATGTTTATGACAACTTCAATTTGGGATTTGGTGAAACCTTTTTTGTATCTTTTTGGAAATATCAAAGTCCATTAAAAGTTGAGTTCCTTGTAAAGAACAATTATCTATCCTACACTGGTAGAAATTTTAGGCTTATGTCAGGGTTTGATTTGTCTTGCAACAATCTCACTGGGGTCATTCCACCAGAGCTGGGAAACTTGATGCATGTCTATTCGATTAACTTGTCCCATAACTTCATATCTGGATCCATCCCAAACACCTTCTCCAACTTGAAGCAGATTGAGAGCTTGGACCTCTCTTTCAACAACTTGAGTGGCACAGTCCCTTATCAACTCGTCGACCTTAACTTCTTGGAAGTCTTTAACGTGTCCTTCAACAACTTGACCGGAAGGACACCCCAGACAGGACAGTTTGCTAGCTTCGTTGAAAGCAGCTATATTGGAAACCCAGGACTCTTCTGCTCTGTAGTGAACAAATCTTGCACCCCTGAAAATGAGATGCCTCCTCCTTCTAGTCCCAGTGAAGAAGATGATGGAGATTCTGGGATCATCGACATGGTAGACTTCCTCTGGAGTTTTGGCGTGTCCTCCATCATAATGTTCTTGGCAACAATGGCAGTCTTCAGAATCAACCCTCAGTGGCTTAATTTTGTTGACAGGTATATTCTTTGGAGGTTGTGATTGCCAATTCCATAGTTGTCTTTTGTATCTATCTCAAAAGTGTTATATTTCTATGCCTAAGACTTTAATAGGTGTGCTTTGTATCTTGTTGCAGAATAACAAATTGAAATAATAAAATACTTCAACTCTCTATGATATGATTTTATGCTACAATCCATAGTCACATGATTCAATCTGGTTTCATTCAAATAATCTGTTTGGCTATCCAGACCTCAATGTACTGCACAGAACAAAAGAAAGATTTGGTTGAATTTTTTTTACGGCATTCTTCTAAGTGGAGAGGATGATTGTTAGAGAGATTGGATTCATTTTGGGACTTAATTGAACAATATATAGGTCTCAAATAGAATACAATCATTAATATAAAGAAGGTAGGTAGGTTTTATATAAGTTAGCCAAAGTTTTTATAAGTTATTTGTAACTTATTAGTCAGGTTTGGGTATACACATTGTCCCCGAACTTTACTATTGTGAGATCCAACTGTGTTGTTATTTTTGTTGTTTGTCGTTGTAGTTAGTTGATGACATTTTTTTTGTGTTTAAGCTATTTATAAATTTTTAAAAAAAGCAAATCTAACCTACTTATTTTTAAGATCATTTTTTCATTTTTGTCCTTTGACCAACTTGATACAAAACTATCTCTAATCGTTTATGAAAGATCCATCTCTCATTTTAGTCACTTTATTTTGTGAACAAATCTTGCACTCCAATAAACACCGACACAATGAAATATCATATATTAATTTTTAAGCTCACTTTTTTGTTTTTTATTTTGACCAAATTATTATAAAACTTTCTCTAATCATTTATGAAGGGTTATTTCGTGAACAATTCGAAATATCAACACCAACATAGCGAAATATCATCGACATTATTATTCTCATATTCAATAAATCACCTCCTACTGAAAATATTTATTAGTTCATATTGTCACTTGATATAAATATTAGGAGAAAAAAAGATAACAATTTTTTGTTTATATATGGAGCATGTAATTTTTTTAAATGGAGCAAGCACTGTTAAAAATGTATCACTTCAATTTTTCTCTTAAAGATTTACAAATCTTTATTCCATCATTAGACAGTTTAAGAATATGATACTCTCTACGTTTCGTACTCGATAGTTGATTACAATATTCATTATTTTAAAATCATGATAATTTTTTTATTTGTATATTTTTATTAATCATTTGATAAAATAAAATACTTTTGTCATCTCTTATTTTGTATTCCCTCCGTCCCCAATTATAATGTCTGTTTACTATTCACAAGGTCAAACTTCATTTACTTTCTTTCTCTATTTTCTTTAGTAATTTGATAAAATAAAGTACTATTATCACTATTAATTTTGTAGATCTTTTGATGTAGTATTTTAATATGCAATTTTTATTTTTTAAATATATACCATTTGTCATATAAACAACAACAACAACCCAGTTAAATCCCACAAGAGTAGGGTCTGGGGAGGGTGTGTGTACGAAGACCTTGCCCCTACTCGAAAGTAGAGAGGCTGTTTCCAAAGAGACCCCCGGCTCAACGTCGAAAGTTGCATTGCTTGACTAACTGCAACTTCATTAATTAAAGAAGCGCAGATAGTTTAGAGATTCATTTTGATTTATTCCATCACACCTCAAAGCCAAAAAATGGTGAAATTTTGGCTCCATCGGAGATGATGGAAAAATGATTTGAAAATAATTTCAAATAAAATGATTTGAAAATAATTTCAGTCAAACATCGTAAACCGAATTAGATGTTATGAAATGGGACGGAGGGAGTACAATTTTTGATATTGTTTTCAAATATGCAAATTTTAAAAAAAATAAAAATTGGAGTGGCGCGGTAGACCGTCACAATGGACCACTGCAGTGTTGCTACTTCGGCAAGTGCAATGGCGGAAATTTTTGCCCCTCTACCTGCAATGGAGACGCAGTGCGGCGGGCCTGGGATGAAGAGTGGCGCAATCGATATGATCTCCCATAGCAAGTGCTCTAATTTTTATCGAGTTGATGATGTGGTCAAGAGTCGTGTAATGTTCCCAAATTAGCTTCACACTTTCCTTTTTAGTCCATCACAAAACTAAGCATTTGTTTCAAAGAAAAAAATGTTCAATTGTTTCTTTAAAAAAACAAAGTCATTCACACAATTTTGTTTTCTTGAAAAGACATGTCAAACATGTGGAAAACTAGTTTGGAGCTAAGTTGCAAGGAAACGTGAATGAGGTCGGGAACGAGAAAACAATACTTTTTTAAAATTTTACAATGTATGATGATAATGAGACGTCTTCAAAATACCAAATAGGAACATTTAAGGGGCAGAATCTTTGCACCACTAGACCATTTTATGCCTAAGATCATTGAAGCTTTTGAAGAGTTGTGCCAATTGTACCATTCTATTGATGCAAAGATGTTAGATACAAATATATTTTTTTCATAAGTAGATAATAAGCAAAGTAGTGTGTGTTGTACATTGTTGAAATTCGAAGTGTAGGATTATTGTTCATTAATGAATAAATGAGATCTTTACAATTAAAAAAATGCATATGAAAATGGGGTTTCAGAAGATCAGCGCCTGGGTTGATGGAGACGTGGACGGTTGCAAAACACACGACCATTGGCCTTCACAAAAGCAGCTATTCCCAAACTCATACCTCCCCAAATCATTGAAGACAAAAGGTTCCATGGATCATTTCGAACTATGAACAAACAATGTTGTAGAAATCATCATCTTGAAAAGAAACTAGGAATGATAAGATGGGACTCTAATATCGTAAATCATGAGTCATGTTATAGTAACACTGCGAATGACACCATGGTTGACCATTCGTGTCTCAAAGACAACACAGACAATGATTGTGTGGAGTTGATGGTATCAACCTTGGTGTCATTGGTGGCATCAAAGAAGAATTATTATATGTATCCAATCCAATGATTGACAACTCACCTCGTCTTAGCGACAAGGCAGCAAAAAATAGCCCGAGAATAATCAGTGCAAAAGCTAGCGGAAATGACTGCAATGCAACAATACAAACTGTTATATTCATGTTATATACTTAGATTTCTTAGACTTTTTTTATAATCCACAGTCCATAATAATGGCAATTAATAGTCTCTTATTATTCTCAAATGTTCTTTTCTTTCAATTTTAACCCAATTTTCCCTAGCATTTTCAATGTTCCAAAAGTATCCTACANCAAAAAAATAAAGTACTTACAGCAACAGCTTCAATGCCTGCCCTTTGAGATGTCTGCATAGGGTCTCGGGCAACAGAGACAATGTAATGCCCTTGCAATAAATCAATTGCATCCTTTGAAATGAAAAAAAAAACTTAGAATTAGTAACCAATGGTGAAGCGATAAAGCTTTCTTATACATTAGGGGTCAAACGAACAGTAAGACACAATTCGTACAATTCTTATATGAATATAGAATCTCACACACATTAATCTAGATGAATAAAATCAAAAGTCTAAAACATAAGGAGGGAGACTCTGGACTCTTCCCTTCCTTTCTCTTGGAATTTCCGCCGGGTCAGCAGAGTTGAATTCCAAATGCAATAAAGTTGAAGAATTTCAAATGTAATTTAGAAAATATATATATGTGTTGCACTAAACTGAAAATTGAGAAGAACAAGTTTGCTCAATTTCCAAGAATAGGTTGACTATTTGACATTTCAAACGTGGTTACATCTAATTCTTAGGCCTTGCTTGGGAAGCATGTTTCCAGTTGGTGTTTTAGATAATTTTTAATGGTACAGATCAATTTTGAGCCGGATGATTTTTAATGGTACAGAACTATTTTGACCCAGATTAAGTATTACTTGAAAAAGCTAAAGCTAAATGTTGCCATTAAATAGTTTTTTCAAAAGACTAAAGTTAAATGATGAAGTTGTAGCCAAACGGAACTTAGTCAATAAAACCTTACTATATCAGTAATTCAGTTCCGAAAATCAAACCGTTCCAAATGAGGTCTTATATGTACACTTCTTAGTAGAAGTTTAACCCTGATTAATACCAATCCACAATTACTTGTAGATGTGTTAGCATTATATGAGTGCATAAAGTAACCAAGTACCTGTTTGATACCGTCCCGGAAATTGTTCAAGTAGTAGCGTTTTAGGGCATTATAGCCATCGGCGAGAATGCCTTGGGGTGTTCTTTGACCACACCTACACATCCCAACATCTATCTATGTTATAAATTTCATGCATAACATGAAAATATGGTGAGAATATCTCCAAAGTGCATGGAGTGAATTTGGTAAGAACAAGCTCAAAAAGAAAATCAGTACTGATGGAAAGTATGAAACATTAGTACAAAAATCCAGTGGATCCCTGCTTAGGGTCTTTTTGGAATCTGGAAAATGATGGGGGAAATACAAGAGGCATAATAGAAATATAACACACTTAGCTACCTCACAAAATCCCCCTTTAAAGCAGGAGTTCCAGAATATTGTATACTTATATCATCGCCATGATCAGCCCATACTGAAAAGAGCAAAATTTTGAGGATTAAACTTCAAAAAGAAAAAAATAAACCCATAGAGACAATAGGCATTCTTTCCGGATGGGGCTAAAAGAGTTACAATCACTAATGGTTTAACTTAGGGTATATAATGGACTAACTAAAAAAAGACACATTAAACTTCCTTTTCTTCTTAGTTCTTACTTTCTATGAAATTCTGTGTAAGATGCAGTAATGTAACAAGGGTCTTGTGGAAAGGGTGGGTCTAATGGGAAAAAGTAATGTTGGGTACATCTTGACCCCGACCCCAAAAAGATGGAATTATATTGGGTTTTCGTTGTTGGAATTTGGAAACAGCCTCTCTCCTCTTGAATAGGAGCAAGGGTTGCGCGCACACACCCTCCTCAGAACCTACTCTCGTGGGATCCAAGTGGGTTGTTGTTTTTGTACAGAGACAAGATTTATCATTTAAGTGCTTACAATTTTTGAAGCTCTCATCAAGGTTGGGGTGGCTGCTAATGGTGTCTTCAGCACCAAACACACCCAGTCTTTTGAATTGAAATTCCAACATTTTCCTACCAATCATGCTCTGCAATAGAACAGTTTTTAAATTGTGATGAGAATAGAGTCATAATGTTCGCCACAAAAATTGTTTAAAATTTAAAACATTTAGGATTTCAAATTTACTAGAGTTGTATCTTATCAAAACTTAAAAGTTTTACCTTGATGAAACATGACTCCTTTGAGACGGAGTATGAATCATAAATGTGACCACATATTAACAACCAAAGTAACTTTAAGACAATGAAATGGAGGGAGCACATCTTAACTTGATTTATACAAAATTGATAAATAAAATATTTTTATTGCATTGGGGCTTTCTTTTCATTCAGCTTGTTTGCTGACATCCACTAGTATTTAAAAAATGAAAATAAAAACTAAACCATGTTTGTACACCAAGTATGAATAAATAACCTCAAATAATCATCACCAGAAATCACTTTCTGTATTTTGCCGTCTTAAAGTATTGGTAAGAAACATACCTGTGTGACATTTGTTCGGTCTAAGCAATCTATGCAATTAGTCCTCACAATTCCAAGTTGAGCCTCAAGTTGCTCACCTTTTTCATTCAGTAGAAAGTACCTTAAAAGATAAAAAATATATATGCCAATAAAATCAGAGGATATGGCTATAATAAATCGAGAAAACTCCAGATAAGGATCAGAATTAATGGCTTGTTTGATTGGGGGATTTTGGGGAAGGGTTTTTTTGCTTTACTAAATTATCATTATGTGTTAGACTATTAGTTTTACACTAATAAAAAATAACTACTCCCTTCACCCCCAAACGAAGTTCATTTTTGATTTTTGCCCGAAGTTTAAGAAAGTGGAATTGTATGGTTGATATTTTTTTATAAATTAAAGAAAAGATATCAACCACATGTTTATTTCCTTATATGTAAAAGTGAAGTTTATTGTGGGGAAGTCCAAAAGAAAAATTAAAATGAAAGTTTTTTTTAGGGAGTATATGTTGATTGTTAAGTTAAATCATGTAGTTGTTTTCATCTTCACTTTCATTCCGTCCATCTAACTGCAAGAATAAACTAAGTGAATCTGAAATTCCACAAATCCACAATCAAACAAGAGCTAAGTGCATCATGCTCTAGCACATATACTCTCCAATTAATTCATGGTCATAATATTGCAGTTTGTGCTGAAGCTTTTGTGGGCATGGAAATGATCAAATATTGTTTCATAATTATCCACATCAATCTTTACAACAACGATGACGCCAATGCCGACAAACCCAGTATAAACCCAACACCGTTGGGGTCTTGGAGGTGAAGATATACACAACCATAAAAACAGAGAGGTTGTTTCCATGAATCCCTTGTGCCATTCTCAAACTCATATTTTTGCATGTGAAGAAATTTTACCTGTTTTTGGTGAGGAAGTCTTCAATTTGATTATAAAGAAAGGAGAGGTTCTCAAAATGAACATGCCCACATATGTGATGAAAATCAAAATGCAAGTATCTACAAAAAGTTGCAAGTTATTAGTTTCGGTTGCTGAAAGTTGTGTTGAATTTAATTCGATTACCATTAGAAAGATATCATACTTCACATCTTCACCGGCAATATGTTGCATTGCATTGCAGAACTTTTCACTTAAGTGCCCTTCTCCTCCATGCTGTTCCAAGATTCCAAAAAAATGGAATCAGTCCTATCTAGCAGGACTTAAACCGGAAAGACATGATTGTAAGAAGGAAAATAGTTTTAAAAGTTTGGTTCAACAAAGTTAAGACGAAGCCCTCCACTACATCCAAACAGGCCCTAAAAGGTGGTCTAGATTGTGACCTTCCTGAGACCCCTTGGGAACTTCCATACTACATGCACCTTTTTTGTTCTCCGATAAAAAGAAAGTAGCACCTGACCTAGCATTCTGGCAATGCTAAGAGAAATAGTAAGGGATTGTAATGATGCACCTTATTGACAAGATCAACAGCAATCACATTCCCATATTTCTTTCTCAGATCCAAAAAGTGCCTCTCAATCACTCGAGGCTGCACATTTTGTATAGATTATAAATTACTGACAGGAAAAGGTCATAATGAGCAAATGTTTTGAGAAACATCACCCTAGCTACTCACTGCTTCCTCTTGTCTTACTATCTCGAACTTGGGCTTATACGTCAAATCAACAATCTGATCCCACAATAATGGGATTGACCCTCTGACCTACAAAAGGAAATCCAAAGTATAAAGTTAGGGGTGTAGATTTTGGTTCCTTCTGACCAGCCCAAACCAACCACATGTAATTCGGTATTATTTTGGTAATGGTTTTCCCAATTTGTAATGAAATTCTTCATATATTCAGATTTCTTAGTCTTTATATAGTACTCCGTGTATACAAATAAATAGAATGAGTTTTAGCATGGCATCCCCCCCCCCAAAATTCTTTTCATTCCTTCTAACTTTCCTCTATGTTTTCCCTTCTATTTTATTTCCCTAGTACTTTCCAGTTTCTGTATAGACACTTAACAACCCTCATCCCCTATCTTTTATATAAATCAAAAGAATATTATGTGAAATCAGCATTTACTGACATATACAATTAATGAGGCCTACCTGAACAAATGATGCTGTTAAACCATTCATTTGCAAGATTTGTTCACTTTCCACAAAATTTGCAACATATCCATCAGAATCAGCACCTCTCCTCCACATCCGTGTGCCTGTGATAATGTTCATACAGAACTCAAGACACCTTTATTTTCTGAAGAATATTCGTTCCTACGGAAACTTCGTGAAATCGTAAACTTATAACTTTTTATAATTTTTGAGCAATAGTGAAAATATATTGTAAGCTTATCAGAATTTGGTCATAAAGACTGGGAAAGGATGAAAAAGGCATTTGAGATTCTTGATACCAGTTCTTCTATTGCACCTTCGTGCAATCAGTGTAACATCAATGATATCTTTCCCAATGGCTGCTTGAAAGTGGTGATAACCTGATAACCAGTTAAGGCGTACCTTTGGGTGGAATGAATAACGGACGCTGAAAACTTTGTTAGGGTAGTGGAAAGTTGCAACAGAGTACCATCAAGGGATCAGCGTATTTGAAATGAGATACTGAGTAAATACTCCTCAATGGCTCAATGTATGAAAAAGTACAAAATATTCGAGACCATAACACCTCAAAAATAGGTGTACATGATGACTTTAAATTTGAAGTTTAAAATACGGAGTACAAGTTTACCAAAATCCACAGTTCATACAAGTGAGGTTTGAGGAGGACGAATGTACACATAGCTTACCCTACCTATATGGGTAAAGAGAATTGTGTAATAAAAGTGGCATTTCATTATCGACTTTATCATCCAATTTATAGGCGCCAAAAGATTTTATAGTTACTCAATTTTTCTCTATTTATAAACCAAAGGATTAAAGTATGGATAAAAATAGTTCCTAGTAGTATATATTTTTTATTTTTTGTACTATGTGCTTGACAAACAAACAGGGAACTGTCTGCTTAGTATATGTACTATGAGTAGACATGTTTCATATCTGATATCAGTCTTTCTTTTTCTAAAAATCAAACAAATTTATATTTTCCTGGAGCTTTCTATTTAATGATACTCATAACAAGTTAAGATCCTACACAAATACACAACAGCCCACCGTACTGAGCAATAAAAGGACCATTCCCTCCGTTCACTTTTAATATCATAATTTGACTTAACATACTCGTAGTTTTTATTAAGACGGGAACTATGTGTTTGAAATTTGTTAAGAAGAGACGGAAACAATATCAACCACATAATCCTCTCCGAAAAAGGAAAGAGAAGATAATTTGGGACATACAAAACGAAAATAATGAAGATAAAAATAGAACAGGGAGAAAATAAGAGTTTCAAATGAACCTGCGTTTTTGTACCCCTAAAAAATGTAGCAAAAAATAAAAGATAAAAGAACCCATGTTTATTTAAATAACAAGGATACTGCCTTGGACAACAGGTAGCAAGAATGGGTCGAGCTGCAAAAAGAAATATGGGATATTTGATAAGTTACAGATAGATATAGATGGAGATCAGGTACATATATCAAAGGGAAGTGATCTTATAACCTTGCTATCTATAAGAACTTCCATCATGTAGTTGTTCCACACAAACCGAGGGTCTGCCTGCAATGTGAACAAGAATTTAGAATAAAGGGCCCATTCGATAAGAATATTTGGGTGAATCTTTGAAATTTTTTTTAAAAGGGAAGGTGTTTGGTAACATCCATTCTATCCAAATAAGTAAGTCAAAACCTACTTGTTTTGCTGAAAAGCAAAATAAGCTGAACTGTACTACCATAACTGAATGGCATCCATTAAAGGATTCAAACCATCGGAGAGTAAAAATGCTAACCTGTCTCCAAAGAGGGAGTAGTTTAGATTCACCCAAATCATTTAACCTCTGTAAGCTGCAATACAAATTGCATGTTTCTGACCATAAGCAATAGTGAATACGAGTATGGCCCAAAAGAACCCAAATTGTGTAAGGAGCTTACACATCGAAAGATTTAAGATAGGTAGATCGGTTTTTAATATGACTTAGAACATGTCATTTATGGCCAACTTGAGAGACTAAAATCCAATTTTGAATTACATCAATACTCAAGATAAAATTATAAATACTGCGCAGTAAACAAAATATATTTATTGTTCTTTCTTTTTAATCTTATCAATGATACTAAATAATACAATGTATATGAATAGAATGAATACAGCAAAAGAATGAGTTCCATCAAATATGACTGGACAGAAGAATTTGTGGAGAATTTCTTAAGAATACTATGTGGCGTAGATCACAAATAATATGTATATGCTTAGCTCAATGTTCAACTCTCTAAACCAAAATCACTGACAAAAACCACAACAATGGTAATAAACTTCCTTTTACAATGCACAAAATTCTAAATACTAAAAGAAGGAAAAAGTAACACCCTATAGGTATACAAAAACCAACTTACCTCAGTGTTACATTGACTTCATAAGAAAAGTACAGGCCTAGAGTATGCTCTGCAACATTTAGTAAACCGGAAAACTCTGCTTCCATTTTTTTCTGCAGATAAGTTGAAGAAAAATATCAGTAGATGGAATAGGCAGGTTATGTCTTTTAGAGTATGGTTTGAAAGAGGGAAATGGTAGGAGAAGGAATACAATGCTAAGGAAAATAGTTGTTTATGTTTGGCTTTACCTTGGAATATGTGGAGGTAAATCACATTTAGATTTCTTAATCTTTATATGATAGAACCTAAATGGTTGTGAAAAAATATCTAAAAGTGATAAATTGAGTTTGAACCAAGTTTTTTCCTGTAACTTTTATTTCCTTCCACATTTCTCTTCTGTTTTCCTCCATATTTCTTTCCCTAGCATTTCCCGGGTTCCAAACCGACCCTTAGAAATAATCTTCAACAAAACAGGAGGGAAAAGAAGATTGGAAACCAACCTGTTCTATAGGAGAGTTCTTGAGGGAATGGTCACATGGTAAAACCTTCAAGGATGCAACTTTAAAAATTGGATGCCCCATGTAAGAACCAACACATTCGCGATCCGTTATTACGATTAAGTATGATCCTGAAAGCAAACAATGAGGAATGTTGTGAGAGTGTGAGTTATGATATCGTGCTTCTTTTGTTCCATGGTTATCAAATTAATTTGTGTTCTCTTTAAGGACCTCTTTCAAATGAAAAATAAAAAGTATAGAAAAAAGGGTCAATTAGCTAAAGTGACTAAATCTCCTGCACTTTCTGCAAGCAGAAGCATTTGGAATATATCCATTTCAGCCAAACAAGTCAAATACCACTAATTTTTCTTATTTTATTTATTCTGCTTATGAGTAAGTATATGTGTAATAGATGCAAATTATGAATTTCTATTTTTCATTGTGCAGATTAAAGATTGACTTGCCTGCCACAAGCTTTAGCATCCCAGCAACACCAAAGATTTCCTTAATTTTAGGAACACGGAGTGAGCTGTAATGCGGTATATCATCTAAACAAGAAAATGTACATCCAAAACACATTCTCAGTTAATGACAATAAGAGGTAGGAGAATGTTAAACCAGAGAAAAAGATAAAAAGCTAACCGATTAAACTCATAGACGCATCCGCCCGACTGACTGCCAAATGTGAACCAGAAGATCCATCAGAAGGCTCAATAACATATTGATCCGGAAACTCCCAGAGCCTCATCCTTGTATATAACTTATGTCCATGATCTGTCTTCTCCATGGTTACACGAGTTCGATCACCACTGAAACAAAATAAAATAGTACTGATTAAATATAAAATAAATAAAAAAAACTTTTTATGATACTGCAAAACAACAGGCAAGTGTAGGTAAAGGACATCTCCAACCCTATACCAGTTTTTTAACCAAAATAGCACAAACATCACATCAAACGGTTTCCCCCACTAATATCAATCCAACTCTTTGCACCAATTATATTTTATCTTTTTTATTCCACTTTACCTTTATTGAAGAGCAAACAACAATAACAACAACGAAACCCAACATAAAACAAACTCAATGCCTGTTTGGAAACAACGTTAGGGTTTAGCATTCGTGTTTCTAAAAATGCTATCTAAAGGAGGAAGTGTTTAGCTTCATCGTTTTCAAAGTTAATTTGTACCATTAAAAAAGGAAAATTTCATATGCCAATACTCCTAGAAATTTGAGATTTTCTTGGAGTATTATTGTAAAAATATTGATTTGTTTGGGATTGTTGGTGATAATTCTGCAATCTTGGAGTATTTGTATAAAAACTAAAATTTGTGGGGGTAGTCACATGAATTTTTCCATTAAAAACTAATCCAAAACACGCTCATGTCTTATAGTAGTTTATCTATTGGGGGGGGGGATATGGTACTACCTCCGTCCCAGAGTATTCATTCAGTTTGATTTTTTCGAATTAAACTGGACAAACTTTGGACCTCAACTAAATAAATCTACAATGTATATTAGTATAAAAATGATTTTATTAGATTTAAATTGCTAAAACTTTCAAAATTTTATTTCATTGCATTAATATGCAATAAAAAACTGAGAGTAATTATGGATAAAGTTTGTCCAGTTTGACTCGAAAAAGCCAAACTGAACGAATACTCTAGGACGGAGGGAGCATTAGAGTATGGTCTCGTGGTGGCATGTAGGATGTCCACCCACTTGAATATTTGATGGTTTTTTGGCAGCTTCTTAGAAGGTCAATTCGGCTTCATTTGTCTGCCACTTCCATCGTGGCTTATAAACCTCGTCTCATTGAGTATCTTTTAATCATTTATAGTGAGCTACGCTCAATTTATCATGATTTATGGTATCATAATGAGGTCTATGGCCAGAACATTACTTTCTAGTCATGTGTATGGAGTCTAGGGTGTTCAGAAAAGGGATCTAACGTGATTAAATACAAAAACAATCACAATCAAACCATAACCCCAAATCAACGAATCAGCTACGCACATGAACCAAAACAAAATCCAATACGATTAAAAATCAAACTAAAATGCTCGAGCAGCTCAGATCGTACCTCTCATTCGCAAACCAGATCTGTAAACAGAAACACAAACAACAAATCGAAATCAAAGAGATGAATGAAAGGAAGAAATGATTACCTGAGAGGGCATGAACGAGCAGGAAGATTGGATCGATAATCGGATCGGCAGACGAAAAAGAAACAATCAATCGAAATCAGAAAACGGCGGAGAGATTAGTGCAATGGCCGCCACTACCTTACTACTTTTGTGGGGGGACGATAGTGGATTATATTGAAGGATTGAAGGTAGAGTGAAGAAACAAGGGCCAGGAAATCCACAAACGCCGCCATATTATTATAACTGAAATAACGAACAGAGATCTTAGCAATGGTAACCCTATTTAAAACCCATCATTTCAACACTTTTTTAATCTCAAAGAAATCAAATTGAAAAATCTTTTTTTCAATCGGTAAATTCTAATATAAATTTACATTTTGATGGCTTACACTATACAAAATGTCAGTATGGTCGCAAGAATTTTATACTAAATTTTGTATCAATATAAGTTATCAATCTCGTACTTATATTGAAATAAAACGTAAGAACTTTTTGGTATATTTTGGGATACAATTTTTTAGGTAAAAGTAGATTAATTCATCTTTTTTAGAACAGATGGATATATATTATCTCTATCACGATTAATATTAAAAAGTTATTATGTATATTTGTTACTTTATTTTATATATATATTCTCTTCGGATCATACTCTTTGTGGGATCCAATTATATTGTTATATACTTAAATTTTGAATTTTAATTTTAAAAATAAACATATTTACAAAAAAGTATATTAAGGAAGTAAATTAGTAAACCAGATTAACTATTAAGAATTTGGTCTAGAATGGGGAAGATCATTGAACAAATTACCAAAAAATCTAAGGTGGAAGCACAACTCAATTAGATTCCATGGGACTTGCCCCTACTCGAAAAAATAGAGAGGTTGTTTGAGATTAAAGACAAGAAGAGTGAGAATGAACACATACACACGACAAGGCCAAAAATCAGAAATCGGATCTCTCTCAAATATAGATTTACAAGAATACTTATACATAATATGACACTGTTAACGAGAATTGCTTTTGAGATGTGATACTTTTTTGTAGACACATGATTCATATTATTCTAATTACTATTGTAACCTTTTAAAATTTAGTTTTCTCATCATTGTTCAGTTGAATCTTCGAACATCATATCCAATCTCACTTTTGGCGTCGCTTGTTTAGACGTCAAATAACACCTATGCTGATGCAGTCATGCTAATTGTTGATCGAACAGCTTTTATATTTGGGTCCGAATTCTCATCTCTTCATTTCTATAACGGGGGAGTTGACTTCAATAATTGACTAGGCAACAATCACAACTAACAAAATGTTGACCTAACTTCAAATTCTTTATTTTTGTAATATGGGAATCGACTTTATTATTTAAGAAAACTTTTTTATTTTAGTGGGGTTCACAAGCTACAAGTTTGTGATTTTTGTAATTTTTTTTATTTGTGACAAACATTTTTCCATTTATTTGGATCTAATTTGTTGTGATTAGGGGATCTTACCACAATGGTATTCCTTCCCATTTTTAAAGTAATGACTCTAAATGTGTATGAGATAGAAGACCTTTCATTTGTCCAATGTTCATTGATCATGTATTATACTTGAGTGATAGAGTGATATGTAATTTTGATAGATTTAAATTTATCAAACAGAAATGAGTATATTATGAAAAGCACATGTAGATAATTTGGTCAAACTACTTTAAAATTGAAAAAAAAATAAAAAAGCTTAACACTGTTAAATTTTGAAAGTCTATTTGATGGGAGTTAATTTGGTCCTACCATGCCACTTGTCACCCTATGCCACCCCACTTGCCACCATGTTCAACTTGTAGTGCTCGCTTCTAATGTTATTAAATATTTTTAAATTGTTTTAAACTGTTATTTAAATATTAATAGTAAAAAATGGTTTTTTTTGAAAAATCTCTTTTTATCAATTATCAAACAATGGGAAAAGTGAAAGAATTTTTGTTTTCTTTTAGAATAATAATTTATTCCCAAAAAATATTTGTTTGAGAAGATTTTTCACCCAAACAAATTAAAGTTACTTCCCAATGCATTTCGTGTGATTGGGAGGGTAAGCTTTTGCAGTGCACGAATCCGCCGTCTCTGACCACCTGCTCCGCCGTCGAATACACCAAATTCGTTTAGGTAGTGTTTGGCAACTAGCATTTCATTTCAATTCATGCATTTCAATTCCAAAATTTGAAATTCAGAATTTCAAATGACAAGGGGAGGTGCATGGATTTCAAATTAAGCTTTGTTTTGAATATAAAGAATTTGATTCAAATCCAAATTTAAAATGCTTAAGTTTCCCAAACATGAAATTTAGGCCAAATCCGGATTTGAAATCCAAATCCATGTTCCCAAACATACCATTAGATATATCTCCTCCAGCGTTTTACAAAAAGAAAAAAGCCGCCTTCTTGATGATTCTATCTAATGGCGGACAATCCTTCTTCCTCAGCCTGACAGTGCACTCGTAGCTTTACCAAACTCCATGGCCGCGATTTGTCAGCGGAACAGAAGAAACTTTTTCCTGCCCCAGCTCAAAATCCTTATTTCTACTACTACCACTACTACTCATCAGGTTTGAAACTATTGTCTTGTCGATACTCATACACAGCATTTTGTTCGTTCAAGCAATTTCTCGAACACCTAGAATCTGAATGGCTCATAAATATATCCCTGTTGCAGAAGTTCAATCAAACATTGGCTGGGGGTGGTATTCAGCTCGAATCCAAATCCGAGCAGGGTAAGTGAAGTCCTAAACTAAGTTTTGGTGTGGAATTCATGTTTCTTGTAATACATTTCTATTTGAAATCCAGTCATCCATATTGGCAAATATGTGTGATGTTGTCAGTTGTGTTTTAATTTGGCTTAAATGGTTGAGTTGACAGAATTTGGGAATTGGGATGGAATTGATTATGTAATCCCATAAAATGGCCTTTTTTTAAATAAAAAAAGTGAATGAAAATTGGAAACACCCCATGCTCTCTATAACTTGATGGGTGACATTGTATTTTGCTCATGGCCATCATCATTAGCACCATTTTAGCTATGCTGAGAAGGTGGAGAGATAACACACTGACTTTTACCGTCGTTTTTAAAGACATCATGGCATCATGGTCATCAACCATTTTTTGAAAAGTACATAATTCTTTTTTAGTCATGGCCATTATCATCAACACCTTAATCCAAGCTAAGTTGGGGTCGGTGTATGGATAGCATTGTCTTTTTATCCTCATACTCCTTATTACTTTATTTCCCATTTTTGGCATTGTAAGGGTGAATCCATGCTTACTGTTTAGGGCAAATTGAATTTACAAAATGGAGGAAGTTGGACGCAAGGAGCTTTGGGATAACTGGATCTGTAATACCATTATCTCCGTGGTTGGTTATGAGGCGCCTTAGAGCGAAAGGTCACACCTTCGGTTCCATGTGCATTATTTTAGCTCATATTTGATGTCTTTGTTTTAATAATTCCCACAAATTCACAGGGAGTTTGGAAACTCAAGCTTCTATTTTTCTTGAAAAGATGACGTTAGGGTATTAGTCTTTGACTCCATTTGGTCTTTTTGTGTGTGACAAAATAGTCTTCTGTTAGTACTTAGAAGTTAGAAGGCTTCCACCGAAAGGCAAAAACTTCACATTTTATTACCCCTGGCCTACTATGTCTGTCTTATTCCATATTTGGTCATATACAACAACAACAAACACTAAAATCCCACACAGTTGGGTCTGGGGAGGGTGAATGTATGCAAACATTACCACTATTTGACGGAGACCCTGGCTCAAAATCACAAAAGAAGCTAGCACACATCTAGATACAACAAACTAAAGCAGAAAGTTCTACATTGAAGTAGACCACACCCCCCAAGGTCTACCCTACCACCCTTATACTCGACAATATGCAGCTCAAAATTATTTATAATCTACAAATTTAATATCAACCACACAGTTTGCTTTGAAGTCTTTTGTCTTATTCCATATTTGGGTTAAGTTTACTCTAATACTCTCTCCGTCCTATAACTATCTTATCATTCACTATTCACTTTCACTGGTTAAACTTTATCCAGTTTGTTAGCCTAATTTCGTTACCTGATAAAAAATAGTCATGTCACCTCTAGTTCTGTAGATATTTTGATGTAGTTTTTAAATATATAAATTTTATCTTTAATTCCACGCCAATTTTATAATAAATTGAATTGAAAATAATTTCAATCAAACATCCTAAAACGCAACAGGAAGTTAGTTTTAGGACGGATATGGGAACTCAAAGTGGCTGATTAATCATGAAATTGCTGCATCACACCAAATTGCCTTAACTATCACAGATGGCATGTGTAGTGTAATGCCCCAAGTATTGTACTCTAGCTTTTATCCAATCTCTAGATTTGATCTTTCATTAAGGCATGTACTAGTATACAAATTGAATGCATGAAATGCTTGAACACGATAATGCAATAATCTTCGCATTGTACAATCAAGAAAATTGTATGCCTACGTACCATTCTTAAGTCTGTACTGCTCATTGAGAGCACCAGAAGCTGGACTATTGGGCCCTGTAGTGTTTGTGTGAAACCATCTTTCGTCTCTCCCTCTTATTTACTTTTTGTTTCATGTAATTTTCACTCTAAATAATTTTTCCTAGCTATATGTTATTTTATTTGGGTATAGATATTCATTCTTATGCCGTTAATAGGCCTTTAAGTTAGATATCTTATATGCAGGGTTTGAAGCTTACTTAGTTGGTGGATGTGTTAGGGATTTAATACTTCACAGAATACCAAAAGATTTTGATGTGATTACAACAGCAGGGCTTCATCAGGTTCTCAATGACCTTTTGCTTGTCATATAATTCCGTTTTTAATATTTACTTCCTCCCTTCCCTTTTTAAGCATGGTTTTAGAAATTTGCACACATACTGAGTAGACAGTAAATCTTTCTACAAGTCTAGGTAAAAGTAACATAATATGGCTAGTATAACCCTGTTAATGTTTTCAATAACGATATAACATTTACTCCGTAGAATATTATGGGTTGTCCATGTTTGAGTCTTCACATGATCACTGTTTTGTTACGTTAAGAATGTAATATCTCATTGCAGATAAAAAAGCAGTTTAATCGTGCTATTATTGTGGGACGGCGATTTCCAATTTGCATGGTTTCTATAAGAGATACTGTCGTGGAGGTTGGTGGGATATGTACTTACTAGTCTCGATGCTTGTCAGCTTGGGTGCTTCTT